TGATAACGATATGTAACTGTATAGTGATGAAAATAAGAAATAAAATATACTATTCTAATAAAATCTTTTTTTATTAATTTATCAAAAAATTTTTTAATTATCAATTCGCAAGGAACGTGTTTTAAAACATAATTTACATATTTTGTGTACAAAATATCTTATAGATTATGTATGTGTATATATTTTACATATTTTTTTTACATCTTTTTTTTGAAATCATCAAATTTTTGTTTTTTTTTTATTTATATTTACAATTTTCTTATATCACACATAGATGTATATTTATGTTATATTTATATTATATATGTATATTTATATTAAATTTAATTAAATTTATCTTTATATATATGCGCTTGTGATGTTTATTTTTGCAACTTTATTGTTTTTACTAGAAAAGTAAAATAAAAATAATTATCTTTTCAAGGTATCTGTCGCAGTAAGAATTGACATTCTTGATATTCGTGGATTATACACAATGACATCGTGGATTTCGAGGTCCGAAGGGGACTTTATGGTGAAGCTTACTGGCGTGAAAGTCGAAGGTATCGCCAGGCTAGAAGTGAACACCGATGGCAAATTGCAAGCTCAGAATATCGACATGGATTTGACTTTCGATAAAATTGACCTGGACTTTAAGAATCTAGGATTCCTCGGCTCGGTGTTTCAAGGAGTCATCAATTCCGTCGGGAGTTTCATCTTTGACGGCATCAAACCATTCATACTGAAAGAAGTTAATACAAACATAAGGTGCAATTCTTTAAAAAAATGTTTCTTATCTTTTTAAATCGAAAACTATTTAAACAAATAAATAAAAACAAAATGAGATGAACAGATCAAGAGAAATGAAAATAACAACGAATTGTATATATGAAGAATGAAAATAATAATTAATTTTTTAAAACGACAATCGAAACTAATGCCGATTTTAATTTAGATTTTTGTATGACATTGTTTTTTTTTAAATATCAATATCTATGCAGCTATATAATTTAAATTACATATTTTTTTTATAAAGTTTCATGTAACAATAATATTTTAACAATAATAAATATATTTTCTCTTTTTTTTTTTTTTAAAGAGAGAGAATTTTTCGGCTTGTGCGTGTTTATATTTTTTCTCAACAAAATATATGATATATTTCAGGGGCGAAGTGAATAAGCAAATATCACAATTACCGCAATACTTTCCGAATTCGATTTCACCCTTTGATATGGCGATCGCAGAAGCTCGAAAGCAGGTTTCTCAGATGGGCTATGATCCATACCAGCTAAAGGATTATACCCAAAGCGTCGGTATATTCACTATGACCTCGTCACATACCTGGATCACCGGTTTAGCCAGTTTCTATCGCATGGGAAATATAACCATCACCATGGAGAACGGAACTGTAAGTGCAATTTTTTTATAAGAAATCTAATTAACTAGTATATTAATATATCTTCAATCAAAGAGTTCCAAGTGAATCTAAAAATTTTGCAATAGGCATACGAAAAGTATCTATTTCGAATAGATATAACATTTAGATTTCAGATAAATGAGTTATAATTTAATTTAAAATAGATAAACGTCTATGAAATTGCTAAACGCAAAGCAACTGCATCGGCCATAATTGCGATCATCGTTGCGTAAACATTACATAAGGTACCACATTTGTAAATTGTTACAGTGTGCGATTTTTGGATTTTACACGTGCGTAGGTGACGCTTATCGCATTTAATTTGTATTTACATATATGGCACCTTATATAGATATACGCGCTTCTGGATGTCGGCACCCAGGAACTTGAGGGTAAGACGCACTGGGAAGTGAGCGTGATCGGTGGCTTCCTGTCGCGTGCCGGCACCGTGTCCTTCACCGTCCAATACTTTCGGGTTCAAGTGAAGCTAGCTCAGCCATTGGACACGCGGAAACGCGCTCTGTTAGAAGAACTGGAACTCGAGTTGGGCAACATCCAAGCAAGATTCCACGGCGCTAGAACGCTCGATTATCTCGTGGAAGCGAGCGTTAATATACTACCGAACCTTTTAAGGTAAACTACGTAATAGCCCCGGCCTTGTAAAATATGCGTTTCGCATCGATTTCAAGGCGACGTCCGTAATCGGATTTTCTGACACGGATCCAATCACAATAAGCATTAGGAAACGTGTCTAATGCAATGAACCAAAATTGTAGTATCCTTGATAATCTCGGAAAATTGTTAACGAACGTTTCGCTTAAATTCTTTACGTCTCGAAATATTTGATTCGTTGTTAAATAATCTTACTTGTGTTTTCTAGCTTCCTCAAAATTCTTTTAAGGTCATGTGTTACAATTAGAATGATTTGGAATTTAGAGAATTAATGTTAATTTAAGCTCAACTTATACTCTTTATCTTTTTCTTAAAAATAGAAAAAGATGAAGAATAACTTGAATCGAAATTAAATTTAAATTAATCTAATTGATGGAAAACGAGCTAAGAACCGGTTTCATCATCTCTGATTAACTTAATCAGTTGATTATTCCATTGAAATTGATCTAATCGCATTTGTCGCCAAGCAAAATTGACCAATCACGATTGATATTTAATTGAGTGATTGAACTAACCAGAGATGATAAAACTGATTCTATTTATATATTTTTAAATTTTTTTATTAAACACTCAAACATCAGATATTTAACTATGGAAAATACGATTCTGTGTCATATTTCATTTAATTTTTTTTTTACTCTTTTAAATGCTTTTTATTTAAGTTTCTAATTATGCCTTTTTATTCTTACTTTCATAGATATCAAATCATGGACGCGATCGAAGGACCGTTAAAGAGACGTATACAAGAGGAGTTGGACAAGATAGACATGGAGAAATTGATTGATGAGAAAATTCCGATGATCGAGGAACAGGCTAGATGGATGCAGGGTTTAACACCCTCAGAGGAAACAATCTTGGAGGAACCGCTACCACCAAATAGTCAAGACGATCAAACACCATTCTCTGAGAGCGAGGAAGAACGAGGACCGTCGTAAAAAAAAGGCATTCATAGATCATAATCGAACGTTATTCAAACATTTGACTCAGGCCTATCCAATTTGAGCTCCGGAACCAAAACGCAAAGCTATCGACTCAAAAAAATTCAATGTGGATAAGATGTCGGGAATGGTAAAGTGTTGATATGCATCTAATTGTAAGTGACGTTTATCAACATTTTATAGTTCTAAAATCTTACTACATTGAATTTTTTTACGTCGATAACCTTGTGTTTTTGCTCCGAAGCTCAAATTGGACAAGCCTGGTTTAATTCCATTCTAGAGGGCCAATAATTCGAGACAAACTCCTTTATAATGTAAACATGTATTATACATTGTGCGTGATATGCGCATGTATTTTAATGTATAATAGATGTACATATACATGCTCATTCTGATTTTTTAAACATCCTGTATCATGCGATGGAATTCTACTTATAATTTATAAATGGAATTCTGTCGTAAATGTCGAATTGTCTAATAGCAGCTTTGCAACATGAAAAAAGTGAAAAATGTATGCACGACTTCGTGACATATTTGGCACAGATGCGTAATTTATGCCCGATGGATAATTCAATAACGATTTGGCTAAATTGAGAAAATATTTATTGCGACTTATTTTTTTTATGCCATAAGTGGTATTGTTAGGATTTAAATACTTAACAGCATAAATGCGTTTTTAAGAAAAAAATATTGATTTTAAATCAAACTTACGTATATTATAAAACAAATATTTGTCAAATATTTACAACTGCAGTATGTAAATTAAATAATATAATTGCAACTTTATTAAAATTATATAAAATTACACATTCAAAAATGATTTAAGTAAAATATTGAAATTAAATTTTTGTTAAAAAAAGAACATTACTATTATTAGAAACACATAATTATAATTAAAGCAAATTAATAATTTATAAGAGCTATATATCAATTTAATGGCAATTATTCAATAATGATAGCAAAATACAAAATTAAATTGATATTAAACCTTTATTAAAGAAAATATTATTAGCAAAATATTATATTTAGCTTAATACAAAGCGAATAAAATTACAAATGACTATGCGAAAAGTATCGCAAGAATAAAATCGTTTGAATGTGAAATATATATTTATTATTATTATTATATATGCGTTTAATTGAACTTGAACACAATTGCAACCGTCTGACTAATACGAATATAAAGTGCATTACATAATATCTCGTCTATAATTCTAGCTTCTTGTGACGCGAGTAATTATAATACCGAGTGATCTACCTATATTATTCATACATATTTTATGCAACTCACATTCCTTGCCAAAAAGAAGTGTTACGTAAACAATCTATAAGTACAAACTCTAAATCGAATTGTCAAGCTAACGATAACACGAATAAATTAAGTGAATGATTACATAAGAGCAACAAGCTGTACAGAACGTACAATAGCAGTTGTTATATTTTAATAGCGAGTCACGATGGCATGAACCGTTCGAAACTAATCGCCGAGACGAACCCGAATGATGTAATGTCCACAGTCTAACAGCGTCATAAAGCTCATAATATGCTGTTGCCCACATTCGTGTCTTCTTTTAAAGCTATGAGAAAATAATTAATACAATGCAACTGTACATACATGTTTTTATACAATTTTCTAATTATGGCTCATTACACTATGTATTAAAGTCATCCAAACTTGCGAAGAATGAGTCACGGTCGTAATTATCGAATCGATCTATTAATTTCCGCTCTCAGAACGTCTTATATACAATCGAGTGTGAATGTTTATTTTGAATATAATAGAATACAAATCTAACTCTGCAGTCTTTTTTTATCTATCTTAAACTGTGGCATAAATAACAATCGTGACTCGTCCCTTACTAACATACAGACCGCAATGCTAATACATTTATATATACATATATATATATATATATATATATATATATATAATATATGTATGTATATGTACATAGAGAGTGCCCTGAAATTTATAAATCGATTAAAATACCGTAGTGAAAAACTTTTCAAAAAATTAAACGCTGAAATGCGTGCTTACTAATATTATATGATTTATGGACAGCTGGTGGACGACTAAACGTAATTTGTAGTTGGTTGTATATATTTGAATCCTTATATTTCAAAAACTATTGCTTCAATTAAAAATGTACATATAACTTTTTTTACTTAATTTTTCGATATCTGTCTTGCTATAGTATTTTGATTCGCAAATTTCAGGACGCCCTGTATACACGTAGTAAAAATATTAGCAAGTGTTTGTAATATTAGTGTAATCGTACTGATCGATTGTGTACACATAATAATAGACATTTGCGAGGAAGCCGAACAACGCGAACCGGCCTAAAACTCGTTGCAAAAGTATCTAAAAATTCAAACATTCAAGATTAAAACGATTAATTTTTTTCTTATCAAGGTTTGATTATCCGTTTCTTGGTAAGTCAAATGTTATTACAGACAATGGTATACATCTCTGCAAACTATTGATTTTGAGGATGATCATCATGGTTCTAAAAAAATTATTCGGACATTTCGTTTTGGCGATTAATTTCTCAATCATTGGATTTTCGCGTTATCCGGAAACACTTCAGCGCATTACTTGGTCTTGATGGCCGGCCAATAAGTTTGTCGTATAATTGGCACAAATCGTTCGCCCGGCGCCGGTAAAGCCCATTTCCATTTGGGTGCCGTAATAGTCAGAATACCATCGGAAGACAAGCTGGGCTTCACTTGGCTGATGTCGTAACCATGCGGCAGCAAATAACGACGTATAAACTGTCGCGACACATAGCCGTGGCTATCCTTCCTCTCATGATGCTTGGCCTCAATGGTGATGTACTTGTCGTCGGTGCGAACGGTGACTTCCTCCGGCGTGAACTGCTGTACGTCCACCACTATTCGATACTTGTCCGCGTCACATTCGACTGTTGCCCATCCGCCTATCTCATGTTCTGGATTTTCAAAAAATACGTCGCGCACTCGCCGGAACCTGCCGATGAGCGACGGCATTCGCCATAGATCGTCATCGTGCAGACTCAGCCTCCGAAAATGTTCCTCCATCTCACGATGGTAGCGATCTATATCGTCCCACCAGTTGCGGAATATGCTTCTCGATACCAGTGCCATGATTTCCTGCAGACAAATAGGAATTAATAAATCATTATTTACCTGATTTACTTTTGTCACATGTAATAAATTATCATTTTTATTATAGAACTTGCAGAGTTTTTGTATGAAAGATAAAACGTAATAATCGAATATAAATAAAATTTAAATGCGACATAATGAATAATAAATATCTGTAGATATAGATCTGTAGATAATAAATATCTGTAGATGATGATAATAAGAGGAACAAATAATTTTATTATATTTGATAAATAATTATAATATATTTAATAAATGTACAATACTGAAATTGTTGAAAAAGAGTGTCTAAGTATTTAAAGAAATTTTGATGAGTTTAAAATTTAAAAAGCAATAGATTGAATACTAAAATTTATATATAAATATAATATATATAGTAAATATAGATTTACAATAATTATTAATAATAATATTAATAATTATATTATATTTAATAAATTGTTATAAAAATAAATTATTAAAAAACAAGTTAAATTATTATAACATAACTAATAAATGTGTAAGTTGAAATTGTTAGAGGAACATCTAATACTTACTTAAAAAACTTATTTAAATAAGTACTTTAGATAAAGTAATTATTTTAAAAAATTTTGATGAATCTAAACTCTAGAAAACAATGGTAAACGATACAACTTATGCTCAAAAATTTTAACAAATGTATAAATTCTCTTTTAATCGTAGTTTGATCATTGTTTCATATAAAATGGCTTTGATATTATTTATTTGTCATAATTTTAAATGTAAAAGCAGCAAAAAGTGTATAATAACTCAATTAATCTGCGTGATTATTAAGCAATCATTAACTGTGCGTGATGCGTATGATTAGGAGGCAAGTAATACGCACTTTGTCAACTTTGAAAAATCACTCGTTTCGTTCGTTAACACTCGATGTCGGATGCTCGATTTGCGAAATTACTTGTCGAATTGCGCAGTAAGAGATCTTTGCTGCGAGGCTCGTTTCCTCCGAGCATGAATTCCTCTTTGCGACTAACTGCGCAACAATTACTAGTGCACTGATTTATATTCAGTTTGCCGCTCTTTTCGAGACCGTTCGATCGCGCGGCGCGCGCACATGCGCATGATTACAAAGATCCCGCGCGATTTCTCGTTCTTTTTAGGATCGCTCAAATTGATTATAAATTATGTTATACGTTATGTTAACGTATATTATATCGTAATATTTAACAAAATTAAACAAGTGTCTACACTGAAATATCTTATTATATTTTTACTATACTTATTAGAATGAAAGAATCGAATGATTAATTTTTAATTATTTGGTTTCTCATTATTTTGGTTGTAACAATTTTTTTCACATTTTAAAATTTGTATTCCAAACACACACACACACACACACACACACACACACACACACACATACAATTTTTAATAAAATTAAACATTATTATCGAAAAGTCAGTCCTATTTGATTAGAGAAAGGAACAACAAAATAAAAAACATATCAATTTCAAAAATAAAATCTTTATTAAAGGTTTATTTCGTTTCATCCCCCTAGATAAAATTCCATAGTATAAAATTTAATTAATATTAAGAACATGACTAAATTAAATGCAGACAAGTACGCATGCTCGGGAAAAATGTATCATATATAATTACATATATAATAATTATATATAATTATAAATATTATATAAAATTTTATATAAAAAATTGACATATTTTATATATAAATATATATATTTATATATAAAATATATTCTATATATTTCTAAATATTTCCTATATAAAATATATCCTATACATTTTTTCCCGGGTGTGTATGTAATAAGAAATATTTTTGCATTTCTTTAACATTCAAATCTCTGTTGTTTACAGTTCACTTCGTACAGTTACATGGTCCTTTCTAGCAAAAGATAGTATAGCACATCTGAAAAGCATTCAGTCTTTTACATACATCAGGTACATTTATATTACATATATTTAAAAAAATATATATAATTGCAAATATTTAAAACATTCTATATAAAGACATAGTCACCGAAACTGACTTGGTGACTTTTGTCTACTTTTATCGGCAGATGGATAATAGTCAATAAAAGCATATAGAACTTTGTAAAGTCAGCATCCATGTAAGCCAAATACTATTACAATAGTATTATATCCAAATACTATTATAATAGCATACAATGACACTTCAACATTTTTATAAACATTCATAAAGATAATCATAGATAATTGCTATTACGACTATACTTAATCTTCTATGAACTTTGTTCAAATATGGCACATAAAATATTTATACCATTTGTGTTTAAAAATTATTTTTATGATGATCACGATTTCTCTACATACACGCAATTGGCTTTAAAACTTTATAAGGATTCAGAATGCCATTTGGATCCATTATTTTCTTCAGATCATACATTATTTCAATCTCGAAAGAGCTTCGACTCAAATGAAGGTATTTAGTTTTTTTGAAGCCAATGCCATGTTCAGCACTAATACTACCCTGACATTTTGATACATATTCGAAAATAAACGGTTCCAATTGCGCGGCTACATCCTCGTAATACTCTGGTATAGAGACTTGTACATGGAGGTTTCCATCGCCTAAAGACAAGAAAAAAGGAAATTATTTGCAAATATCAAACTTATTTCAAGATATTTGAATTCTTATTATAAAAATTATACCTAAATGACCATAACCACTAATCCTGATAATCCGGGGATCGCGTATTTGCTTGCGAAGCACCTCGATGACAGTATAAAAAGATGAAAGAGGTAGGGAGATATCGTACTTGAATACGTAACCCTCTCGTAAGACACCTTCGCTAATTCTTTCTCGAAGTGCCCATATGGTCTAAAAATTTAATTTTCACTATGAGGATATGAATTGATAAATATATCCTAAAAATTTTTTATCCTCTAAACATTAATATAGCTTATTCTTTCAACAAAATCCAAATATGATACATGTAAATATTCAATTATATTTCTGGGAATCAAACATAGTATGAAGAATTTTTGTTTTTAAATGTTCATAATAAATTTTTTACTTTAAGTTGTTACATCTTCGTTTCGTCTCTGTGTCCTGTGACGATATTTGTAATCCACTGCTTGGATAATCAATAAAGGGACAATCAAATATAAAGAAGCTCATCTTTAGGACAGTTAATTTGTAAACAGGTCAACAGTTATCATATTGTAAATACATAGTACTACATAAAATTGTCTAAAATTGTCTCATTACTTTCGATAATTTTATTAAGCATTTAGTTGTGTTTAATTCTTTATTTGTGCATAAATAAATGCTATGAATATCTCTACTATAGATAAATAAGATCATGATAACGTCTTTATGATATTGCTACAATTTTTGTGTTCTACCTGAGATATGAATATGATCGATATGATATAAATAAACTTTCGATTACATACATCAAGCTTTTTTGATTCATTAGTCATTGTGCCATCTTCAATGATGTCATCATTAATAACTTTTTCCACGAACGAGGATAACTTTTCTTCGTCATGAACCAAATGGCTACCTGAAGTTTCAATAATCATATAAAACTCGTGACCCTCCTTGCAGCTCGTTAACGGATTCTTCAGGCCAAGATTGTTAATGGAAACGTCTATAGATAATCGATCCATCATTTCACAGGAAGACAGAATTTCACCTAGATGACGTTTCGCTAAATAATATGTTTTTAACACCTTATCGAAACTCGCTAATCCTAAAATAAAATTTATATTTTAGTGAAGCAAAGTTTTGTAACAAGATGCGTGAGTTTTGTAATTTAATTTATATATTAAAGCTAGTAAAATATATATTAATGTATTTTTGTATTTTATATAATGATTAACGCGTACCTAGAAATGCGACATTTTTAGCAATCGGCAATGGTGGACATTGAATAGCCACTTTGGTCAAAATGCCTAACGTGCCTTCGCTTCCAATAAAGATATGTTTCAAGTGGTATCCAGTATTATTCTTCTTTAACGTATTCAACGCATCTACAATGTCGCCGTTAGCCTTCACCTGAATAAAGAAAGACAATTATTTATCTAATATTACTTTCGATTATATTAGGTGTAGTAAAAATAATGGATTTCTTTTTACTACACCTAATATTAAACTATATAGAACAAATTTCAATCGACAAAAAAAGGAAAATTTTAATTCTTCTAAATTTAAAAAATCTAAATTGTTTTTTCCTAAATTTTCAATAATGGTTACAAAATTAATAATATAAAAATTAATAATTAAAAAAAAATAGAAATAATTTTAATTTATAAAAAGTTTAGGCATATTATACAAGACAAAATATAACAAAAATCGACAGATATAATTATTTGTATAATTATGTTTTTAATATTGTCATACATTTAAATTTTATATATGTATATAAAACATAATAATTATTTTATGAAGTAATAAAATTATTATAATATTTTAAATTACATAATACATTAAATTACATAATAAAATTTGTATTCAAATTCAACTTACTGCTTCAACTCCCAAAATACTGCCATGTAAATTGCCATAACGCAAAAGTCGTAATCCACCCGCATTTGTACTTACGCATCCGCCTATCAAACAACTTCCTTTAGCCCCAAGATCCAAGGGCATCATTAGGTTAACTGTAGACAAGTGATTGTCCAGATCTTGTAAAACGCAACCAGCCTCGCATGTCAGTGTACCTAACACGACAGTATAATACCCAGTGTTTTTAATATAATAGTACCGCAAAAGAGAAGCGAATAATTGTTTATGATTATTTTTTGACTATTTGAGACTTCAAGGAATCTTACTATAATATTATTCGCATCTATTATTCTTTGAAAAATATATTTTCAGAGGACATATCATCATTAAAAAAAGAGAAAAATGTTTAAATTCAATTGTTGTAATTCAAGAAGCGTACTGCAAATTAAACTGTATTCAAAGAATATATGAATTAAATAATCTTTTTAATTTTTTATAAATATTTAAATAAAAGATTTAGGTGCAGTGACAAAATGTGATTAGATGTAATCATAAAGTAAATAAAGATTTTCGCTTAACTTTTTTAGTAACTTTCCAAAGATATTTAGATACATTCGAGTTGATGTCATACTAATCGCACCTACCTGCCAATTCATTCGTGTCCAAAATTTTATTCATGAGCTTTAAAGAAATGACAATTTCATCAAATATTGGGTTCGAACCACCGACGAGTCCAGTATTGCCACTCTGGGGACAAACTGCTAATCGTCGCTCATTGCAATACTTTAGTATTGCACATACTTCCTCAGTGGATATTGGTTTCAACACAAGCTTACTTGCACCTGTAATAATGTCAACTATTATATATGAATTAAAAATATAAAGAAATTTCAAAATTTCACTCTGAAAATTAAAATACATTTCTTCTATTTGAACTATTGTAAAAATACACTGAGAGACCATACTTTCTAATCTCCATTTTTACATAGATTGAAAGAAGATATTTTAAACACATGCTAAAAATAGCACACTATAGAAAATTTACCTTATTTTAGAAAGAAAATATGAATTCCTTAAATTGAAATTTTATTATTTTTTCTCTACAAATTCTTACTTTATTACCTGTTAAAAAAGATTATGTAACCTTATTTATTTAATAATAAAGTACATATGTACATATAATTACTAAACACATATACAAAATTTTAATGTTAAATATGTAATATGTAAATAGAATATATGAATTCGCAGATTATCCTAATAAAATCATAAAATATATACATTTCAACTTTATTTATAGTAACATGTTGTAATTATCATTATTTCCATCGCAATAAAAATTCCTTTAAGACAAAAAAAATTTTTTTCTGCTTATTTCCTAAATTATTTTCTGCGTATTTCCTAAAAATTTTGTAATTAAAAATGATTTTTATTATTTACTCTCTTATACGCTTATCTCTTGCATGCTTACCCCTTACAGTTTTCGCAAAGTCGATATTGTAACTTTCGCATTCATCCGGATCTGTGATGATGCGACTGGAACCAAGCAACGATTCGAAAAAGCGAACATCTGCATCCGTGACCGTAGCGTAGGGTCCGCGTTGAATTTTGTACCTGATCGAAGTTAATTCAGGTTTTGCGGCGCCGGTCGAATAGTAGCGACCAGCGATTTTCGCGGAACATCTTGTGATGGCCTTATTACATTGAAGCAGAATCGTCAGTACACTTTGCATCTTAATTTTGTTTTCTACGATAAATTAATCCTGAAAAAGAATAAAAGATATACTAAATATTTATAATTTCATAATTATAATTCTTAGCTTATATTCTTTCGCATAAAATCAATAAAAATAATATATTATAATACAAAGAAAACAAAGATATCACTCTATTTATCAAAAAGATATTCCTTACTTCATATAATTGATCGATAAAAAAAAACAAAAAAAAAGAAAAATTTGTTTGGAAAAATTTGCTACTTAAAGACCAGTGTAAATTACTTTTATCATTGTACAGGGTGGGCCATCTATTGGTACGTTTTTGAATTTCGTCGTATGGCAACACCGAACGAGCTACAGACCCGAAATTTTGACAGTTTATTAGTCATACCGTCCGCGGCACGAAACAACATGTTTTCTCTTGAAGAGCGTTTTGAAATTTTAAAAACTTATTTTCAAAGTCAGTGCTGTGTCGCCGAAACTGTACGAATTTTGAAAAGAAATATGGGTCGTGATAGAGCACCCACCGAAGGAGCTATACGCAAATTGGTGAGGAAAGTTCGTGAGAAAGGGATGTTAGTGGATGACATTATATTACGACTGTTTTGAGTGAAATTGGCGCCGAGGTAGTCCAAAATGTCATTAATAATTGGGGTGACCGAATGGCATACTGTAAGGCCAGTAGAGGGAGCCACATGAACGAAATCGTTTTTCATTCTTGACGCGGATACTTTTAGCTTCACAACAAAAAAAAAATTAATAAAAAATATCAATGTATGCTCATTTGATCGCATTTTTAAAAACGTACCAATAGATGGCCCACCCTGTACTTAAGTAATGCCATAAATCAGATTCATAATTTTAAAATTTATTTTGAAATAAAATAAATATTTTTTTTGTAAATAAAAATCTGTCAAAAGAAAAGCACATTTATAAATAAACAGAATAGCGACAATTACATAATTAAGTCATATGACAATAATTCGAATTGAAATACACTTTTTTAAATAAATTTTGAAATACATAAAAATTGCAAATTATAGTTGTTTCATTGCACGTAAATCCTTAAGTAACACTCGTGTTTCAATATATGTTTATATTGTAATATGAACTGCTAAATTTTCAATTCTGTAATGGGTTTAAACACGGCCAATAAATCCCAAATTGTATATATCGAAATTCATAAAAAAAAAATTAATATTTTTTCCGATGAATTTCGATCCTTTATGTAATATTCTTCAGACGTTTCTGAAAAATTAATGCCCATATTTTTTAAATCACTTTTCATATGTATTACATTGTCTCTATACATATTCTCATATAGGATTCCGCACGAAATACAAGTACTGACAGTGCTGAAAATATAATTCACCTATCGCATCTTATAAATCTTCAGTATTATCAGCCATTTCGTAATACACTTATACATTAGCATAATTCGTGATTTCAGCGTAACTTATCGACGCAATAAATCATAATTTGCTATTGAAACTACCGCCATCTTCAGGTCATTTGTCAACTTCAACGAATCTCTGTTCGTATATATTATCGACACGGTAGTTTCGAATATATTACAAGATGACGCAAGCCTTCATGATTGAATAAGAAAATATTTAAAAAACCATTTGCATTACAATCAATCTATTCTTTATAATTAAATTTTGTATTTTTCATTTATTTTGTTTTTCTTTTAATTATAAGTACATATCTTTCATCTTAAGAATAAAAAAAATGTAGAAATATATAAGTACAACTGCAATGAGATCTAAAAAGATGGGAGCTCAGAGTCTTGCATAACGCATAACGTATAAAGAAATGAATCAAATCCTTCATTTCCCTTATTTCTTTCTTTTCCATGAAATAAAAGATTAATTGCTTGATTTTCTTATGCTTTATGCATTATGCGTTATGCAATGGTCTATGCTTTGACTTTAAGCCTATATCAGACTACAGCTTGCCAATTCCCAATTGACGGTTCTATTTTAGCTAATCACAATGTAGCAAGGACTTGCTGCATGTTTGGTTGAAACAGAATTAGGCAACTATGAACCGTAAATGATATCTCTGATTTACAAACTAATATGATCTTACGGATTGTGATACCAATTTAGCTAAATATTTATTTCCGCCATATTTGATCTAACACGAATCAATAAACAGCCAATTGACAATTATTGAATAAAATTAAAATATATATCACGTATAATATATCATAATTAAAAATAATTTGTAGTAATTTTTCTACCACGTTGAATTACTATTTTATTAAATATTTTAATAGATAGATATCAGTTACAATTCATATCTTCAAAAAATGCATACTGCTAAAATATAATATTAGTTGGCATCTATAATTATAAGTATATACAAAATTTTAATTATCTTTATTTTATATGCGAATCTTGCGACTAAACACATTATTATATCTAGTGATATATGCACAATGTGTGTAATATTGGACGTATTTAATATTTAAAACTTTTTCGAGTAGCTTCAATTTTGAAAATAATCTCATCGCTTCGTGAAAGGTCAGGAAAATTCAGGATGATTTAAGAAAATACACAAAAAACGTTTACCTGACTTATGACTTACGGAGATAAACGCTGATAGGGATACCTAATGTAACACAAAGACAGATGGGTGCGTTCCGAATTACGCATGAAACGAATTCTATCCTTCTTTCTATTTGGTGAACAAAGATAAATGATACATTATGCGTAATATCGGAACATATCCTATCTCAAATTTTTCTTTTCAGTTTTCCACAAAATTGAAGTCCGTGTATCTTCCATATCTACAAAGAAATCTTTATCCATTCGTATTTATACTTTAGCTTATCTCCCTGAGCTAATCTATCTTACGCCAATCAGCTAATCTACCTTTTCTAGTAAACATCCCATAAAATATATTCAAATTTTTTTCAATTCTTCATTTTAAACCGTTTCATGATCACCATCCGGTAACCAATTGCATATGGTACAATATATGAATGTATACGAAAGCGAATTACAAAATGATGTCTGTTGCACAATGTCAGAAGATTAACGCCTATCCATCTCAACGTTTAAGCCTAGACACAATGTTGAGATAACAGAGACAAGAACAGCGTTAGGAATAGCATAGAAATAAGCGATATATAAGGCCTATTCTTTTTGGCTGAATTTTTGCACCAGTTCATCTTTTTTCCTTTTCTCTCCAGCAGGAAAGAAACTGATGCAAAAGTTCAGCCAAAGAGAACAGGCCTATAATTGTCGTTGCACAATGCCGCGAAAAAAATAAAAATGCCAACCAATCTAATCTCCGTATATAAACTATAATATATTCTTCCATCTGCTTCAAGATTATAGCACAAATAAACAGAATGAGAAATCTGAACGCTGATTGGTAAACTGTAAGACGATGAACACAGAATTCCAACTCGTCAGAAATTTATCGCTATTATTCTATGTTCCTATGTGCATTGACATATGCATTTCCGTATGATGGATTTCTCTGTTCCTACCGGTATCGCTAATGCTATCGTTATTTTTATCACTATCGCTGTTGCCTCGCATTGTGTTTAGGGCTTTGACGCAGCTATCCGTCTCAGCGTTTACAGTGATTAAGGCGTGGCTATCTTAGCGTGCCTATTTATAGCCGGACATACGGCGCGCCTTTCACGCGCGCGATCGTGCAGAAAGTGCAATTCGTCGCATCCGTAATTGATACAAAACCGCGCGTATGTCCCGCGATCTACATAATGGCGCGTCAAAAAGACTGACGTCGATTTTAATAAAAATCAAGGCTACGGTTCTGACTTAATGCTACAAAAACTTCGAAGTCTTTTTTGATTGGTCAATCAGTATATGAAATTCTTTCTTTCGATTGGTCAATCCAATGTGTCGAAGCATTTGTAGCATCAGAAATGGACCACATCCAAATTATCGTTTGGAGAACCACGTGGCCCAATCAGATTCCTTCGCTGGACACTCGTCTCTCCCACGTATCTTCTACGTTATCGCGAAGTTCCAATTAATACATGGAATCTTTCCGATCTCGAGAAAAATCCCACATAACGCTTCTTGAAATTTTAAAATTCTTAACACCGACGTTTATCTGCAACGTTTTTTTATTGATTTTAAAATTCTGAGAATGTAAAATCACTTGAAGTTAAGTGACGATAAATATGAGATTAAAGCAATCTTACGAATGTGTTAATCGATTTGATTTTTCGTATTTGGCGTCAAAATGCAACTCTGTTGCCCTTCATCGAAAAGGCATTGCGAAAATATTTGAATAAAAAACTTTTTTCCTTCAATGCAGATAATAAAAAAATTCAACAATATAATTTTTAGAAATGCACCGGATATTCGATATTATCCGGCAATTTTTTACTATCTAACCGGATATCATTAGTATCCGGAAATATATCTCGGAAATATATCCGAGTTGAAATTTGATTTCATTAAATTGTTGAATTTTTCTTTTATTGTTACAAATGTTTTAGAAACAAGTATACATATTCATGATTCTATAATATCTTATACATTATTGCAAAATTACAATCTTTTTTTCTAAGCTTTTTTTTTTAAAAGACACTCAGAATCTGGTCTGATATCTAGAAAATGTCGGATATTCGACTCGAAGAAATTGCCTTCTCGGATATCCGACTGGATATCCGATATCTGGTAATTTTACGATCTGATGCATCCCTAATAGTTTTCTTTCATCATATTTATATATCGTTTATTATTATTATTCTAACATTTTTTTACCATTATTATAATATTTTTGACATATAAATTTACTATTATAACTCTCATTGAAACTAACAAAATAGATGAAAAGCATTTTTCTTAGAATCTCGATAAAATTGCTCAAATACATGCTTCTACAAATTCACCAATGAGTTTTAAAATATGCAAGCAGGCAATCTAATTTATAACATAATGTCTTAATTCTTAATTATTTCGATGATAAAATAATAATCGTATCATGTTTCTTCTTCATCTCGTAATACTATTTTTATTATAACCGTTTTTATCACAACCGTTACGCGATTATAC